GTTTTGGGCTTTGCCTTACTTATTTACAAAATAATGTTTTTAAATATATTGGAATAACTTATGATAATAAAGAGAACAGACACCAAAATAGAAAAAAATAATTTTTATAAAAAAAAAGCAAAAACCAAAATAATTTTACAAAAGAGATGTTAAGCAATTATTTGAGTATAAAATTACGGATATTGAAAAATTTTAAGATGGCGCAGGGCTTATTACGACCCAAACCCCAGATAAGTCAATGCTGACCCGATAATAACATAATGTAAATTGGTTTGCAGTCAGTAGAGCACTGTTGCGTCAGCGTTGAGTCCAATATCCCTGCTTGAATATTTTGAAATCAGTCCACTCCCTCCGTCACCCAGCGACAACCGCATTGGCCTTGTATAATGACCAAGTTCGCACTTGATCAGATGTTGGCGCTGCATTATATGGTGACGTCGCGTTGTATCAAAAATTCAAGCGAAAATGACGCAAAAATCACACGATAACTTAAAATTGGTTCAATTGTATGGTGAAAATGAATGTCTATGGGATGTTAATGAAAAAATAAATGCTCGATTACTTCCAAAACTGATGTCGCCACATTTTAACACATACGCATTAAGCGACCAACGCCTGCAGCCGTATTATGAACATACGCAATGCACAATGTTATCTCATGTTGCATATTACATTGCTTGGCGATTTTGTCAACGTCACGTATTATGGTAGAACAAAAGCAGCAATGGTAATTGTACAATACGAAAAGTAATAAATGAAAGTTTACAAAGATAAATATCATAGTAAAGTATTCAGCTAGATGTAAATTAGTTAAAACAATAATAATTAGTAAATAATCAATTTAAAAATGAAATATTATGTCTTTATTAGTTGAAATACACGCCTTTGATGAGTTTTTACAACTGATTATGCTGAAGTTCACCGTTATAATAACATAAATTCACGTACGACGTTCCCCGCGCAACTAAATCACAAAGTAGTGAATGATGCTTGTCAACGCATCATAGCGTCGACAAGGTCACGCGACGATTTCTGTGTTAGAGATAAATACTATGGCAATATCGCCCCAAGGCAAAAGTTACAAACAGACGGTCCCACTATTCCTGAATAAAGTTGCAACCACGGTATCGGCGGGGCTCCCCTTAGCTAAGAATCTGCGGTTCAGTTGCCACCTAAGATGTCTCGACCTGAAAACACAAAACGCACGCACCCTGAGGACTGACGAAAAGATCCTGAAGTTGGAAGAAGAGATAGAGAAGATGAGCTGGGATATTATAGATTTATGTGAGGTTCTAAGAGAGGGGGAGGAAATGGTAATCCTCGAATCTGGAAACTTGTTTTATCACCGGGAGGGCGTTCGCCTGTTCCAAGGAGATGTCGGATTTATCACCCACAAGTCTCTTGTTAATAACTTTGTAAAGATTGCGTGTTTCGACTAGGGTTGCAAATCTTATACTCAGAATCACTATACGGTATTCGCTGAAGGTCATACAGGTTTACGCACCAACCGCGCTTCATTCTGGTGAGGAGATGCAGGAAATGTATGAAGATATTTCTAGAGCCATGCGTTCCTCCACAATCCACTATACGGTGAAATGGGAGACTTTAACGCAAAACTAGGCACAAGAGAGAACGGTGAGCTGAAGGTAGGGGAGGAGCTAGAAGCCAGCAACTGGTTGACTTCATGGAGAAAGTGTGACTATTTATGATGAACTCTTCCTGTCTGAAGCCGCCCCACAAAAAGTGTCGAGCCCCGACGGTTTCGAAGAAATAAAGTTGTCTTCATTATGACCACTAGACGGCAACTGTTATTACTTAACAGTTGCCTTAGTGATCGCGAAGGCGAAAACTGGCAGCGATCACCGTGTGGTGAGGAGCACACTGAACCTAGAAATTAAGTAAGGTCACGTCTAATGAAGTCAATACTCCGTCCCCCTTGTGCTCTAATGTTAAGTCCTGAAAACTTTCAGTTTAACTTACAAAATTAGTTTCTGTACCTAAAAGACTGCAATACAGTAGACAATATGAATGACAAGCTCGTGAAAACTGTCAATGTGGTCGGAGCTAAGTTCTGCAAGATTCGTCGCAGAGGAAGCCAAAATTCCTAGATCATACTTTTAATCTCATAGCTGTTAGACGGGTAATGAAGCTACAATTTTCAGCAGATATGGCAGTATACAGGAAACTGAACATACAGATCTCCAAATGCATGCATGCATGCAACGCAATTATGCGACTTCAATACAGCTAGCTCATATTGAAGAGAAGATGATCGAGCTACATTAGTACCACGAACTACATTATATTAAATGTTCGCATTGTAGACAAAGATTTAAATAGTTAGATGCGCCCATACCATAGTATGTCCACTCCGAAATGTGTCCATTCTCAAATGAGTGAGCTCACTCATTCGCAATCAGTGCTCATTTGTGCGACAGAGAAAGTAGTATACACAATTTCTATAAGATAATAAGAGACGACACTATTGCATTAGTGTGCGCGCGTCAGCGTCTTGCAAACGAACACATCCAAAAATAATGCCACAGTTTTCAAGGTGAAGGCGCATCTATCTATTTAAATCTTTGATTGTAGACAGATGTAAATAAACTTGTTAATATTCATTATCTTCTTCTTTATATATAAAATTCAATTGATATCCGTTAGTCTCGCCGAAATTTGGAAACAGTTCGACATTTTATTAATATGTTGTATATACATTATACATAATATGTTGTTACGTATTGATTGATTTTTTGATTGATTGATTGATTGATCATAGAGATTGATAGCAGCGTCTTACTAATATTGACTGAAATAAGAAACTGCTGGTGCTAATCCGCTTGGTAAGCGTAGCAACCATGGCAAATATTCCCCATTTGAAGCGATCTAAAGGGGAGGCGTATGTTCAGCAGAGGACTTTAATAGGTTGTAATTGTATTTAAATTTACCATGATTTGTTAATGTCGTGTGGCGATGTATGCAAATCCGTTACTCTAAAGATCTCATTGTTTCTGACATATAAGGCAGCATAACCATCCTGTTTATAAGTAGCGGCGATAATAGTGACAGGCTATGCAGAGGGTGGAGTGGCGGCCGCTGAAATTGTATGGCGAGCGCGTCTAGAACTACAGCGAATATAAATAAGTAAGTAAATATAGAACTTTAAACTACCTAGGATAAAACTTTTTTGGTTCGACCCTATTTATATATATACCCTGATAGTAAAAGGTCCACAAATTGCATCGAATAAATGATTTAGTTACCCCAAGTTTAAGCAATTTTAAACGTGTTTCAAAACAGATGAAAATATGGTATAGTGATAGCAGAATCAACACTTATTTAATATGTAAGTAATATTACACCGAGTTGGACATGTAAGCGAGAAAAAAATGATTGTACTATTTAACAACCTGATAAGACATGCAAGAAGTCAGGTAATTCTGAACCATTTGCGGCATCCTTTAGGGGGCGGCTATATTTAGCACAAATGACTAGTAAAGGGCTGTAATGATGATGATGATTTTACTGTTTCTAAAATTACAGCCAAATTATCATCAGCTCTACGTGCAATACGTGTTTGTGTTTACGTTGTGTGGTTACAAGGGATGACGAATATTAACAAAACTGTATCGTAATTTGCGTATAAATCTTTATTAAGAACTGCTACTGGGGAACGTATAACGATTTAAAATATGACATCAATTTCTCACACTAAAGTTAGGCAGCAGGTGCTAGGAAACGAGCCAACTTTATTTAGGTCACTGTATGTGTAATATAAGGTAATAATTGGAAGCAATACGTGTGACAGCTTTAAAACCTAATGTACAGTCAAAAATAATAAAAGACGTGTGGCACTCGGGGACTGCCGCGGTAAAGCTATTGCATAGCATTTTGTATCAACTTATGCAATTATAATTATTTATTTATTTTATTTATGCAGTATTTTTTTTCTTTGATATTAATTCAGGTTACACTTTTTGAGCGTGGTGACCGATAAGAAAAAATTCTTTTCTTTTATTAAATAAATAAATAATAAATGCACTTTGTTCATTCATATTCAAAACACTTTATACACAAATTTTACAAGTACAGCTATTCATTGTTGTACATAAATACCTATACACCTATATACTTTCTCATAAACAGCTGCTTATGTATTCGTCCGATTTCGGAGCAGCTCGTCTCGATTCGTGCGAGCTTCGTAGAGTCGTACAATACGTCTAGTTGCACGCACACAAACACCGTGTCGAAGACTGCCGAAAAGAAACGACGTTAGACAATGCACGGCCTTCAAGCCACACCTCCGTGCCCGTCGGAGTGGGGAGCGTGAGGTTTTTTCGTTACGGAATTTCTGGATTCGGTCCCCGCGCTCAAGGCCCGCGATAGAAGCTATGCAATAGCTTAATAGCTATGCAATAGCTTAAAAATATGGCCGACTTGCGTGCGAGCAACGAACAGCTGTTTGTTTAAGTCGTTTAAGTTATTGTTGGTGAAATTGTTTTTTGTGGATTTTGATTACTAAAAAGTGTCGATATGCAAGCTCTTCAAGCTTTAGAAGCTATGGAGCAACTAGGAAATGCTCCGCATCGTCATCGTAAGATTTACCAGAAGAGATATGATCCGTTTTCTTTGCCCGATGTAGAGTTCAAAAAGCGAAACCGTTAAAAGAAACATGTTTTCATTAACATAATCTTAAATATACTTTGACATAAAATGTTTCATCAAATAAAATTTAAGTTTAAATACACCATTGTTTATTCAACTATTAAGTTTATCCCTAAACTTTACAATCCAGGATTACAAATCAAGTTATGGGTCCGATTCCCACTTTGGCAAATGTTTAGTAAGTACTTGGTTTATGACGTTTCACATATTTATCTCTCGTGTAGTTTGGATCTCCTCAAGTATTTCTACTGTGACATTCCTTTATTGTACTCTTTGTGTCCTACAACAGTAAAATATAAAAATAAAATAGGTATGAAAAATATTAAAATTGATAGCTATCTCAATGCTTTATGGATGCTCACATTATCTGAAGACTTGTTTTCAACATTGACAAGTTTATTTATCCCATCCACTTCGATTTTATTTTGCGATGGCTCCCCAATCTACAAACAATGCAATAAATAATTAAATTAATAATGTAATTAAGCAGGGATTTTTTTTGATAACTATATCATTAAGTAAACTTTAGTAGGTATGCTATTTAGGTAGAAAAGGAACAAATATATTTATTACGCAACATTAAAGTATGTACCGGGTAGAGATAAAACTTGCGACCTTTAACTTAGAATCTTGACGTATGTAATACCTGATTTATTTCATCAGAATTAAATTCATTGGTGTCAATGACAAATTCGTTAGGGAGCCATGAACAAATGTCGTCTGAATTTTCAGGGTTCGTATACTTCTGCGGAACGCCAAATTTATTTATTTATATCCAGATGAATGTATTTTTCTTTTTAATTTTGTTGTCTTTTAAATACTTAAACTGAATATTTCCTTATCAATTGTTCTAATTTTTAATAAATTCATTAAAACCATCAAGGCCTTTGAGATAAAAATAACTTCTTTGTTTATTTATTTTTTTCTTACTTAAAGTTTTATAATTTAATAGTGTTGGAATTTTTGGATGTGGACCACCACCAGTCTGGCGAAGATTCTTTCGTTCGACAGACTTAATTTTCTTTTTTGTCATTTTAATGATGCTCCATTGGGATTTTATTTGGGGAAGAGTGCGAGTGCCACCTTTACACATACTGTTGAAACTGGAAAAAAGTATAATCACAATTTATACAAATATTTGACATTTTAATATTCAAAATGGTCCAATCACAATGCAAGCGATCCTGAGGACTTTTCTGCGCTTTCTCATAGTAGATCATCCCGTCCAATCCTATGTTCTACGAACTACGTGGACTGCCCACTGTTATGACTTTAAAAGCTTATATGCATTAGACCAGCAAGAGACGAAGTGACATGCTTCTGTTGCATAATAATGTAACTGATCGTATAGCTGTTGCCAGCGCAGCCGCTTCAAACGCGTGAACTCGAAAATTATCCCACAGGAACGAAATACCTGAATAAACGGTATCAAATGTGTTATTCCAGACTAGGTATAACCTATCTCTGAGCTAAATATCATCCAGATCGCTTCAGCTGTTCTGGCGTGATTGAGTAACATACATCTGTCCATCCAAACTTTCGCATTTATAATATTTAGATAATAATTGTAATTAGTTCTGCCTACCTATAAATTGTTTTCAAAAATACTTACTTGTCTTCTTACTTTTTTTATATACACACAATATCACTAGATGTAAACACATGTTTTTATCAAGACAAGTGACCCGTCAAGACTGTTTCCTTAGTACCGACGTACTTAGGCAGGTAGGTAGGCAGTTTACATTTTAGTGTCCACGACGCAGCGACAGTTTGTCAAATTTTGTTGTATAGTAGGTTATGGGTATCTAGGTAATAACAGTAGGTAGGTACCTATCCACCGAACCGTCAACGCCGCGCAAGTGATTCTCGTCCCACCTGTCCGCGCAGTAACTTTTTTTACGACCGCGCGAGACTGTCGCAACAAAAACGATTACTACTGAAAAACTAATATAGGTACCTACCTAACATTCAAATAAAATATTCTCAAAAAGCTCAACGAATTCAGAATTTAATTTTATTAAAAGAAAATTGGTCAAATAAAAAATAAAGGATGAAAATAAAGCATATGGGAATATAAAAATAAATCGTATTTATTTTTTATTTCATTTTACAAGAAAAGTATAATATTTACTGGAGACAATTATTTTATTATTATAATAGTACATGATATTTCCTTTAAAATGACACCAATATGAATAATATCTTATATCCATATCTACAAATAAATAATATTGAAGTGTCTGTTTGTAATGTTAAAACAACAGCTTTTTATTAAATACATATGAAAGTACTAGTAACAAAAACACAATTTTTGAAATTTTTATCTGTCTGTCGGTCTGTCTGTCTGTCTGTCTGTTTGTTTCCAGCTAATCTCCGAAACAGCTGGATCTATTTTGACGGGACTTTCACTGGCAGATAGCTGATGATATAAGGAATAACTTGAACTACTTTTGTTTTAGAAAAAGAATTAGGGTTCTGCGCAAAAAAATTAAAACCCATGAAATCCATATTCCACGCGGGCGAGATCGCGGGGAACAACTAGTACTCAATATAGATAAATGTATACTTATTTTTATTTATTTATTATTTTAATAAATAAATAAAAATAAGTATTAATAATTTCTAGACACATCTCAACAGATATTTCGTTAATAAATTGCTATCAATACTGAAGCATTCTTTTATATTTAGCATCCATTTAACACAAAAAACTGATAAGAATACTTTTTAAACAACATATAATCAATAAACGATAATCGCGTATAGTGAATTTCGAGGTAAATTATTATATGTAAACGTTTTTGAATCGTCGTGATGATACAAATTTCCTAAAGAAAATATCTTCACAATTAATTTGATGTAAAATAACATTAGAAATAACGTATAAAAACGGAGAAATTATCAAATTTTTGATCGAGTTCCTAACCAGTACACAAACAAAAATGGCGAATAGTCATTTTCACATTTTTTTAGAAATAACGTATAAAAACAGGAAAATTATCAAATGTTTGATCGAGTTCCTAACCAGTACACAAACGAAAATGGCGAAATGTCATTTTCACATTTTTTTTCTATATAGTTATTTGTTACAGAGTACACAGATAAAATTCACTCTCATAGATGACAAATTTCAAACACCACAATCTCTAATATTTTACTCTGCTATCTTCAGCGCTGTACACGAACGGAACGATGTCGTTGAGAGCCGTGGTTGCTCACATGGTTAGCGCTCGTTATAAGTATCACAGTACGGGAGCAACCCGGGTTCGATCCCCACTGGCACCAATGAAATTGTTGCGTGCTGATTTAGCTATCAGTTGGAAAGTCTGTTTTTCTGGGCCGTTTTGTTTTGTTACACTGACATCTCGCAAGTCACCTAGGGACCTAGGAGGTTGTCGGTTGCTTATTTTTTTTTTCTTTAAAATTTTCGTCGGTAAAATAATATATTTATAAAAGTAAAAAAAAAGTAAAGTTACAGCCTATATACGTCCCACTGCTGGGCACAGGCCTCCTCTAATTTCTGAGAGGGTTTTAAGGCAAGGAAATGTCCGCCACGCTGCCTCAATGCGTGTTGACGAACTTCACATGTCTTCGAAATATATATTTTTTAATTTCTCAGACATGCAGACCCGAGTTCGATCCCCGCCGGCACCAATGAAATTGTTAATTGCAATTGTGCTGATTTACCACGTGCTCGGCGGTGAAGGAAAACATATTGAGGAAACCTGCACGTCTGAGAATATAATTATAATCGAATGTAAATCAAATTGACATAGGTAAGTACAGATAAAATTAGCGGAACATTAATAAAATTTTGAGATCGTTTTTTTTTCAAAATTTTATTTATATTCCGCTATTTTTGTCTGTGCTTATACCAATTTGATTTACATTCGATCTCTAAATTGTAGTTTGCGAGGGTAACGGGGATCTATCAGCTCCGGCAAAACACATTTCTGATAAAAGCTATCTAATTTTAAAATTTTGTCTGCCGTCCAAAACGCATCATCTCTTTCAATAATATCAATTTCTATGCCAAACAGAGTAGTATCGAAATCCAAAGTTCAAGCAGGGGTCAATGTAGCGTAGTAATTTAGAGCGCGGGTATAGCTATAGTCATACGAACGTCACAGGCCGCAGCTGACTGAGTCGAATAAAACTAGAATAAGCGCGCGTCACCGCGCATGCATGTGTGTGTAAGTGTCGTTCTCCCGCACCGGGGGAAACATTATTCAGTGAGATGCACGATAATTCATATAAACACGCGCGCGTAAAAAAATACGAAAAGGCCTTTGGAAGAAGGGGTTTTATGAAAAAACCACTGCATAAATCAATTACAAATAAAATTTATTGAATTCTTCGATAATTGAGCTGTGTCGGTACCGACTTTGTCTTGGAAATTTTACACTGCTATTATTACTAATTTACGCCCAAAGTTGTGTTAAAATTGGCAATAAAAACGAATCTGTGATAGCTCGTAATTTTTTAATGACGTTTTATTTTACTATTCTGTTTCCGTACAGACAAAATTAATAATGAGACAAAACGATATCATGTTTAACTGTCACTTGTATGTACTGTTGATGTACACTGTCAAACAGCGGAGTAAAACCCCTCCGAAATTTCTATGGAAATAATGTCGACTAGTGTCACCTTAAGCAGGAGAATGAATTGAAAACTGTGTATATTACGGGGATTCTGGATAATTTGTAATATGGAAGGGAGTCCTGATTGGTTTCCCTCCGTCTGGCAATATACGAATATTTCTATATCGATATATGGTAAATTTTCAAAGAAATTAGTTAAACACTATCTTTGAAATTGTTTAATGGACCAATATTCGCAGTCATAATGTATTAAAATTGCTTACAAGTGGTGGACGCTATAATAATGCGAAATGATAGGACGTAGAATCAATATTGTGATATATATATATTAGAGATGGGCCGAATGTGATCCGAACTTCGGCCGAACTTCGGTTCATTTTCGCACGCTTTCTCGAGAGCGACGCGTCGTGACTTGTTTACGCATTTACTTCAAATACCCCGCCCGCAAACCGCAGGAAACATATACCTACGAAAAAAAACGTAACAAACTTCTGTCAAATAAGGCAGATCTTTGGTGTTTTTGCACCATAACCTGACTGGTAAATTTTAAATATGACTAGATAGATAAGAAAAGTTGGTTTAATATGATAGTTGAAAACAAATACCCTTTAATTGTAATAAAAAATACTTGAGGTTGATGAATGTTGAATCAAAAACATTATTTTTTTATTTAATTTACGGACTCCTATCCAGATGTTTACTAGGAGAACACAAAGTTTATTTAATTTTTGTAATATGGCTAATTATTAATTAGGCAGGGATTTCTAAGATTAATAACTAATAAACTAAGATTAAGGTTAAGAACTAAGATTAAGATTAATGATAAGATAGGAACTGATTTAATATAAGGTTTACATTCACAATGTTTCGAAATAAATAAATAAATAATTGACCACGAGTGAGTAAAAATAATATCTTTTATTTTACAGTATCTAATGTTATATAAGGTGCTTCTAAAATATATGCCACGGTTGTTTGTATGGAGACTTGGCCAATCAGCTGACCGATTTCCATACAAAGTGCAATTTTTTTTTGAGAATTGCCTATGGGTTCCTTGGGGAAAATGGTACAGTATCATGAGTAGAACCACCAGTTGCAGCCATGGCATATTGTAGTTTAGAAGCACCTTATACTTCAGTTAAAATAAGTGCAAGTGGGTATTATTTTTCTTGTACCGAATTTCGGCCAATCTCTAATATATATATATATATATATATATATATATATATATATATATATATATTGAGAATCTAAATTGAGAATTTAAACTATACGCGTGTGTGTGTTTGTGTGTATATAAAGAGGGCTACTTTTAATATCGCTCATTTTAATATCAAAAATTTAGGTTGTCTTTATAGCAGTATTATATTTTCAATTCAAAATTAGTACTTCATTTGTGATAATAATAAAATTTATGTTTATAGAGTAC